ATTGTTTGTTTCTATTATTCTGTTCGATAATAAACGAAAATTATCTACAAGTAACGCTCGTCGCTACGACTCGCTTGACCCTCGACTGAATGTTTATATATATATGTAAATAGTATTTTATCTCATGAACACAATTACTGATAATATCAAAACTATGCACGCGTCTTTGTTTGAATATTATTTAAATAATCTATAATAAGGTTGTCAACTTCGAGTTATGGTAGTTTCTATACATAAAACCACCCTCATTATCGATAAATTAGTAAATAAACAGACTACTTTAAAAATTAATGTTGAAAAATCGTCGTTTATATATGTATCTTGGTAATGAAAATTATAGTTTTAGTTTTTTCTTATGAATATCACGAAATGAGATAGATTTTAGTAGTTAGTGTTAAAGTGAAAGTTAAGTGATGGATGTTCAGAAGTGCGTCAACTTATAAAGTCGTATAGTAACACCAATATTAGTATCATGTAATGACAACAATATGAGAAAGACTACTTTTAATTCCTATCGTCTTTTGACATTTATGTTCGATTACGTTGGATATAGCTCGATCAGAACAATGCTATATCATAATGTAAAAATTTAAAGTGGTCACTGTCACCAATTATAATCGCACTTTTGCTGAATATTACTGCAGATAAATCTATACCACGTTGCAGTTGTGCTGTGCTATAGAATGATTTAATGACCACTACGATTTTGTAATATAGCTGATAATATTTTATTGAAACTTTTACAACTAATAACATACTACAGATATATTCGATTTTTAACCAAAACAAAAAACGTTGATATGAAAACATAGAAATATCTATAGCTAGCAAGTATCATTCCACACTATAAACTAGAAAAGAAACACAATACTACTATTAAAGAAACACTAATAAAAAAAACAATGTTTAAATATAAAGAACGTAGAGTGAAGACTTCATAAAACAAAGTAATATACAAAACAATGAATAACAACTAAGTTTAATTTTTATACAATAAAAAAAATTATTAGAACCATTCAGAAAATCGAATTTGAGTATCAATATATAGTCTATCGAGCCTTTCCATTTCGGCGACTTGAGATTTACTTGGCTTCATTAGCAGAACCTTGTAATCGAAATGCCGTAATATAATCAAATCAGTCAAACGTTTGACGCGTGATAAGGGTACGTACACTGCAGCAATGTCATCGGTGTCATTTGGAAGTTTCAGATCAATTACGACTTTACTCAAAGTTTGACCTTGACTCTTATGTGTCGTAATAGAATAAGCAGGCACAAGTGGCAGTGTACGACGTTTAATTGACAACATTGCTTTCTGATTCGGTTTTGGCTTTTTGTCTTTTGGAAGAATATCAGAAATGTCGACACGAAATGTTTGTTCCATTATTGGTATTGGGACGAGTTTTGGTTGAAGTTTTTCAAGATTACACTCAATTTTCGATCTGATAATTTCAATTAATGCATATAAAGGCCGATGCACGTACTGTGTGTTGTTCGGAAATATGTTTGACAGAGCATTTGTTGATACAGAATCAGCCTGGTAGACTAATTGTCGAAAGATTCCATTCATGCCGTTAATAAGCCCCAGTTCAATAGCAATATTTTGTGTTAAAATAACAGGCATTCCAGGAACAAGTGGTAACAAACCGGATAAATGCTCTGTCTTGCTGTCAGATAATTCTAATAGTTTTTTAATAAGTATAGGATCTTCAATTGGTTTGCCTTTGCAAGTATCTTGAGCAACGCACACTATCGGTGCACAATTCAATTGTGCTGCATTTTGAATTGCTGCTTTGTGATTTATTTGTGTTCGCACTTCATTTCGAAACACAAGAATCGGAGCCTAAACATTAAAATGATGAAAAATTATTTTGAAAAGAAAAAAGAATTTACTTTGTTCCAGGGCGATTCACGAAGAGAACTCACGGATGGTTGTCCAACGACGCGTGTTAGTAATAATTCATAGTCGTCGTAATTACATTGTCCTTGACGAAGTCGTTCGAGCAATTGAAGGTATCGTATATCTTCTGTTCGCATCTGTTGAGTAAGTTTCACCACACAGTTAATTTGAAGAATTAAGGAACGTGCAACACGTTGTTGAATTTCTTTTTCAGTAGGTAATTTATCTGATTTCTTTTTAGACGGCAATGAAAAATCGGTGTGCAACGGTGCATCATATATAGGTCGATATTGTAAATAGTCACCGAAAAAGATAACATTCACACCACCGAATGGAATTTGAGGATCGACATGTTTGGCAGTGGAAATAATTCGATTGAGTTTTGCAAGTAAAGTTAAGCCAACCATACTCATCTCATCAATTAAGAGATATTCAACGAGTCTCCACTCTTTTTCGAGTTTTGAATCACCTGGTTTGATGGTGCGTGGCTTTCCTGAATTACGATGTTCACCTAAAAATGAATGTATTGTCATGCCATCTATTTCAGCGGCAGCAATTCCAGTAGGTGCAAGCTTCCGCATCATTTGCATTCTTTTTGTAATGGAAAAGTATTTGGTGACAGCACGAATCAGTTGAGATTTGCCTGTGCCACCACATCCAGGTATGCACATTATGAGCTGACCATTATTGTCACCTATAAGCATGATATTTCGATTTATGATCGTGTATGTAGAATGAAAATACCTGTATGACATTTTCTATCACCATCAAGATGACTTGTTATTATCATAAATGCAGCTCGTTGTTCTCTATTCAATGTGAACTCATCAGCAATACTTTTCTGAGTAGGATAACTTGTGGTAATAACTGAGGCAACTGGAAGAATTGGAGCATAGTTTTCAAAACTGTTTTTATGATAATTATTCGGATTCACCACTGTTATAATAGCATCTTTTGCAGCATACAAGTCCAACATACCATCCGTTTTGTCATAGTTGCCCGTAATTAAATTTCGTCTAATTCGTTCTTTCTCCGTTTTCAGCTGCTCTTGCCATTTTGTATTGAGGTGAACAAGATTAGGTGTTGCAGAAACAAATGGTATAAGTTGTTGACCGGTATGATCGATGAATTCATTTGAAGAAGATTGGCCATGTGCTACAATGAATTTTTTATGATTATTTTGAATCTTACTGGTCATATCAAAATAATGCTTACTATTCATATTAGTAAATCGTCCAACGCTCTCAACTGCTTCGATAGTTTCTTCAATATATTTATTTTCTGCTGACTTTTTGGTACCAATCATCGCAGCAGTCATATATTCGTTTGAATTTCCGAGTAATTCGAGCAAATCTTCACTGTCATTCATATCATCATAATCATCATAAACGTCTTGATTTGCTGGAAAAAGTACAGGATCAATGGTATCATTCTCGGTTTGAACTTCAGCGATAACTTGAAGTAAATGTTCGTCACGATCTTTTTTGCATTCATGTAAGAGCTGAATATTTTCTATAATATTCCACGAATATGTAGAGATACGATGTTGTTGAGATTTAAATGCATCTTCCCATTTCTGGTTGACATCACAAAGATCAGAAACGGTACGCCAAGGCACAAAAAGTGTGAGAAGAGCCCGACTATATCGTTCTTGAGTGTCATCACGATCTCGTCGAGGAATTTGAGGACCATAAAGAATTGGTACACGAGGCTGACTATATTTCATCATTAAATGTGTTGTTGCTTGTGGATGCTGGTTTTGAAAAGGAAAACGTTCATTAGGCGGTCGACCTGTTTGATTAGGTTCTTTTTCCTGTGGTACAGCAGTCTTGGATAAATATTTCATATCTGTTGCATTCATTTTTTTTTTTATATAATGTACTAACAAAATCATATAAACATATGTTGTTGAGAGTGTCTGAGCGATATTGATAATCAATTCGTGTATTAACCAGTACAAATTTTTTGTCATTTTCAGATGATTGAATTTGAAAGTGTTCGTCATCATTATTTTCCTCGTCGATTGTTCCATCATTAAATAAATCATCGTCGAGCATATCTACATTGAGAAGATAATATATTAGTTTTAATTTAATTATAATATAAAAATTCAATTGATCTTTTCTGTTCTATTCTTTCGTATGAGAAACAAAGATTATTTTTCCTCAATACTCGGTTTAAATAGTATTGACAGTTTACTAATACAATTTAATTAAATATACATAATTTTAAAACCTAAAATCAAATATTACGATACTCACCATGTGATGCAAGTTCCAAGTTTTGCTTGGTACGCTTTTCATTCAATTCAGTTTGTAAAAATCGCTCAGTTTGAATTAAATAAAGACCTTGAAACTTGTGCGTTGTATAATGATCATCCCAGTTCATAAGATAAGAGGCAACTTGAACTCCAGACAGTTCTTGTTGAGAAGCAAGTGTGTTGTAACAACGTAAAACCAGTTTACGTGATCTTTCAATTGCACTTTCCTTGTCTGTGTGATCTGATAAATTTTTGAGCGATGTAATGCATTTTTGTACAAGAGCAAACGTATCATGAAAAGAGAGACTCATCTTTGTGACATAATCAGTAATATAATAAACAAGAGCCTTTGCATCACTACCACTCCAAATAAATTTAATATCCATGTTGGATCGACAGGCTGCGATGAGGTATTCATTAAAATTGTTAATCCATGGATCGGATCGTCGCATAGAGATATGACCGGTATCCGGATCAATCGTCGAAACTGGTACTAATTTGCGTGGCATACGCAGTCGACAAATTTTCTTGTCACCTTGTTTAGGATTAGAATACTTGTAACATGTGTCACTATGCTTGTGCTTGTTGTCTGTTTCCACAAGTTGTACCACATCTGCACGAAAGCGTGCTGCAAAATTAGGCGATGATGGGTTTGGAGTAGGTAAGCAACCTGGATTTATGTTTGATTGATTGTGTAAAACATTCATAACTAAAATATGATCTATACTTTATCTTTTTTATTACTTCTATTTCTTACTAGATGTTGGTCGATCATGTGTTGGTGTCTGTAACGATTTATTCAATAATGGAGAAGCATAAGGAATTGATGGAGAAAGTTGTTGCTTGATTGGTGTCAACCAAACAGGAGATTTATTTATATTTTCGGCTAGACCTGTTAAATCAATAGTACGTAAAGCCGCATAGATATTATCTTGTGATAATCGTGGAGGAGTATCGAATGATCTTGGCACTATAATATAAAAGCAGGAGATGATATTCAAATAAAAACAAAATGTTTTATACCGTTTAAATTCTCGAAGACTTGTTTGTCCTTGAATTCATCTAAGTCTTCTTTGATGATGTCTTCTAAATATGCTTTCAACTTTTCACGAAAATCAGCATTTTGAATTTTTTGTTTCATATCAGCTGGTTTCATATCATGATCAAGCCAAATAAGAAGATGCAGATGAAGAGAACCTCGTCCTTGGCTTTCAACAGTACCGAAGTAAGCTTTTGCTGGTCCAAGAACACCACCAATAATCATAGTATCTAAGATATTGGTGATCAATACATGAAAAAATTTTGCAGTAGCAACAGGATGAGAGGCTATAATTTCAGCTCTTCTGTATGTGTCCATAAGTTGTTCCGTTTGGATGTTGTTCAAATCGAGTTTAACGCCGGCAAAATATAATGCCACAGGACTGTGAATATCGGCTGGATTTATGGTAAGAAATATACTGGGCAGACCTTGATTATAGATTAATGCATGAATACGTGTACGTAATGCCATACGTGAATATGCTGAACCCATGACTCGGCCACCGATTGTTTTGATATGATTTACTAATTTGTTTAAGGCATTGTTGGATCTCATATCATATGTTCTTTCCGAGATATTTTTAAGAGCTGTTTCAATATCGTTACTGCTTAAAGATTGGATTTCATGAGCAGATGATCGAAAATAAGGTTTCGTTGCTATTAGTTGAGCATGAAAGCAAGCATCACGTCTTTGTAATAGATTGAAGATCACAAATATAAAACTGTGATTCTTTTCAAAACGTCGATCATTGTAAGATAACAGGTAACGTATGTGTTCTCGTAAATTTACTTTAACTGGACGCGACTGATCTTCAGGTGCTCCACGTCCATAACAGAATAACGTTGGATATAGACCTGTTAATAACTTGGGATTGAAATATTCGTTGACAGATTTCGATGAATGAGGAATTAAGTAAACATTTTCGATATCCATCTGATCCTTGTTTTCATTATTTTTAATTCTGTGCAAAAAATAATTAGCAATTTCCTCTGAAGATACTGATGCACCATTGACATCGAGAACACCACTAGACGGAAAAAGATTATCATACAACTAACTAATTAATGAGCTATATTCACCATTCGCTTATGCAACACCTCCGGAGAAAAAAATAGTACCTAAAAAAGGAGAATATGTTGTTACGAACGGTTTTTTCTTTTTTTTTGTCTTCTTTCTCTTTTGTTCTCTCTTCAAGAAGTTATTCGTCACTCACTAATGACATCATCTTATTTCTTTCACTTTCTAATTTCTTTGATGTTTTCTTCACCTTTTTTCATCAACATGAGTAAGTTATGGTGTTGCAGAAAAGATAAATATTTATACATTCTATAATCACAATCATATAGAAAATAAATCGAACATGATATGTGTTTACATTAACTCTTTCAATCCCGGCATTTTCTTGCGTTCTGCATGAGCACGAAAAAAAAGATAATTTAATCTCCCTCTCTTGCATTCAGTAATCATAATCATATGTGTTCGAGATCTAAATTGATTATTTATAGCTATACGAATTGATTTTCTTTTGAACATATAATATGATATTCATGGTATAAGAAGACGAAAGAACGCAAAAGAATTCTTTTTTCGTTCTGTATATCATTTCGTAGATGATATGGGGCATCGAAAGAGTTAATATATAATCTGATAGATAATATAACATATTCACTCACATGTGCAAATTTGTACGTTGTTGTGAACAGAAAGAGAACAATCTATATTAACTGAATAAAATGAAGTAAAATAATTTTCACATATACTTGAAAGGAACTTTAATGACAAAAAAATGTATTTTACCCAATAAGAAACATTGAAAGGGAACAATGGAGAATCAAATAGCTTTAACAAAGCTCGTAACAAATCATAAAAAAGCCTAGACGTAAAACCAATTATGAGAAAAAATGATCTGTTACCGATAAAAACCTACTATTTTTACTTCAAGTCTCCTTTGCCAGAAATGAAGAACAACTTAATCTTCTTATTTTTTAAAATATTTTTTATCTGTTAAAATACTCTTTTTTTGTCATTAAAGTTTCTTTCAAGTATATGTGAAAATTATTTTACTTCATTTTATTCAGTTAATATAGATTGTTCTCTTTCTGTTCATAACAACGTACAAATTTGCACATATGAGTGAATATGTTATATCATCTATCAGATTATATATTAACTCTTTTGATGCCCCATATCATCTACGAAATGATATACAGAACGAAAAAAGAATTCTTTTGCGTTCTTTCGTCTTCTTATACGATGAATATCATATGATATGTTCAAAGGAAAATCAATTCGTATAGCTATAAATAATCAATTTAGATTTCGAACACATATAATTATGATTACTGAATGCAAGAGAGAGAGATTAAATTATCTTTTTTTTCGTGTTCATGCAGAACGCAAGAAAATACCGAGATTGAAAGAGTTAATGTAAACACATATCATGTTCGATTTTTTTTCTATATGATTGTGATTATAGAATGTATAAATATTTATCTTTTCTGCAACACCATAGCTTACTCATGTTGATGAAAAAAGCTGAAGAAAACATCAAAGAAATTAGAAAGTGAAAGAAATAAGATGATGTCATTAGTGAGTGACGAATAACTTCTCGAAGAGAGAACAAAAGAGAAAGAAGACAAAAAAAAAGAAGAGACCGTTCGTAACAACATATTCTCTTTTTTTAGGTACTATTTTTTTCTGTGGAGGTGTTGCATAAGCGAATGGTAAATATGTCTCATTGCTCTTACCTGTTACTAATTGGAATAGCATCTGCAGTAGTATGTTCTATTGGATCAGATAATGGATCGCGAACATATCCAGTTCTTTCAGATTGAATATCTTCATCACTTATCTTTTGTTCCATGGTTGACATAATAGATTCTGGTACGTCGTCTTCAGGTAGTTGAGCAATATTCTCAAGATTTATCTCGATGCTTTGGTAGAGAATATTATATTTCTTCAGCCATTGTAGAGCCTGAATAATTTTCTTCTTGCGTACCGTTAAAATTTTTCTAAGATGAATACGTTCAGGAGGACGAGATCCAACAAAAATAACTTTTAATGTGTCACATAGATCGTCGAGTTTTAGTGGTAGACTATTAACAATGTTTGGTATATTTTGAATAAAAGTAATACAATTGCCTTTCAATGCTGTTTGTGAAGTTGTAGCTGAATGAAAAGGTGACTGAAGTTTTATCACACAGCTATTATGACGATAAAGTGATATTAACTTTTGTTCGGGAATTGTTAAGCCTTGTAGTTCAGCAGGAACATCGCCTAACCACATATCATTGGCAGGTGAAAACTTAGGAATGCGTTCTTTCGACAAAGCATCATGGCATTTTTGACAGAGTCTGCACATATTTACATTGTTTTGTTGAAATAAGCCATTAGCATATAAAATAATATTATCTTCACAATAAAAAGATGATGACTTGGGAGTTGAAATACCTGAAATAATCAAAAATTATCGAAAAAATCTTCAATTACGAATAGATGTATATTACTTTGAGCATGATCTATCATCTGTATACCATCACTATTAACAGTAGTTACGGTGTCGTGATTTATGCAATGTAGATTTGATAACTGGGTGTTCATGATTAAAGCTTTAGTTTCATCTGAAACTTTGAGTGATTCAATAACAGTAATTTTTGAGAGAGGTACTGATTTCGACTTTTGTACTGAAGTCCGAACATTGCAAACTGCACAAGTAGTTTCAGCTAATGATGACATGGTCATTTGATGAAGAAATTGTTTAAGACAGTTCTCTTTCAGATCACGAGAAATTGGTTCCGGCCAAGGCGAAGAAGTATGATTTCGGTGTTTCATTATAATATTTTCATTTGGTATAAGGTCAGATGTACCACTATCATTATACGATTCATGTTCTTCTGTTTCAGTAAATCGCATCTGAATATTTTGTTGTTGAATACTAATATTGTGAGATGCACGTTTTTCGATTTTCTTTTTTTCTCTGTTTGCTTGACTTCGCTTTCTTTGCTGTTCTAGTCGATTTTGGCGTTGTTCTTCTGTTTCATTCATTCGACTGGATCGAGTCTGTTCTCTCTTCTTTTCAAGTCGATTTTGGCGCTGTTCTTCTGTGTCATTCATCTGACTAGAGTGAATGCGGTGTCTATCTTTCTCAAGACGATTTTGATGTTGTTCTTCTGTTTCATTCATTCGCCTGGATCGAGTTCGTTCTCTGACCTTTTCAAGTCGATTTCGACGTTGTTCTTCTGTTTCATTCATTCGACTATTATGCGTGCGTTGCCTTTCTTTTTCAAGGCGATTTCGACGTTGTTCTTCTGTTTCATTAATTCGACTAGATTGAACTCGTTCTCGTTTCTTCTCAAGTTGAACTTGACGTTGTTCTTCTTTGTTATTCTGATCTTTCAACATTTCATCGGGTATGATCGACTGAGATGAAAGAGTGTCTATATTAATTTCACTTCGTAAACGTCTGCTAGGAGTTAATTGAAATTCAGGAATTCGTATCTGGATAACAGAATTATTCTTAAATGTTTGCTTTTCAGGAGTCTAAATAAATCAGAACAGTTGCCAATTCTCTTTCATAGATAAAGAACTTACTGCAAGAACAGGCGTTGATTGATTATTACTATCAAATTCACGTTGAATACATGGTAGCATAAGAGGAACAAAATGATTCGGACTCCATGTGGAGTTATTTACAATTCTTGCCTCTTTTTCGTTCAAGGTGTGTGACCACAAAATTGTAATTTCGCAGTTAGCAACAATAGGTGGAGGAGGCATAAAGATATTATTGGCGATAGCTGTATAATCTCGAACGTCAATGTTTGGATAGATACTTCTTATGTTACATTTAAGCACATTGCATAATGCACCAATTTCATATAGTTCAGAAAATGTGTAATTTTTGCATACAGCTTGTATTGCAATGTCGATAGGTCCGGCGAAAGGTGAGTACGTGTTTGAATAATAAGTTTCATTCGTAACAAGTTCAATAATTGTTCGAACTAGAAAATATCACGAACCAACTTGTGCAATAACATAATTGAAACAAAAATTTATATACCTCGTAATTCACTCGTTGTCACTGCTGGATTATTCATTAAGAGAAGAATAGAATTGTACAAACAATTTCCATTGGCAGTGACTTGAACTGGAACAAGGTGATGCACATCACTAGTCGCCTGCCGAAGATATTGCTTGGCCGCGATGTCTACAATATGTTTTCTCTCATCAAAAATTTGATTTGGACGAAATTCATATGGTACCATAATTGATTCAATCTACAAAACTTTTCTTATAATTTAATTCATATTAAAAAAAACTCACTTGTCGAATCCGTTGTACGACAGCAGCAATCTCGTCATAATACATTATACTTTGAGAACATTTTTCGAGATGTTGAAGTAATCGTGAAAATTTTTGACCACGACTCATTTGATTGCATTGTGAACAACAGACGCTCACGCATTGCATAGAACAGAATATGCACTGCGCGTTCATCTTTAGCTTGGTCTGATATTTGTATATTATTATCTAGAGCATATACAATAGATGAGTACACGAAATTTACTTCCGTCAAAAATCAATAATAGATATAAATATTTTATCCAAACCCTACCCATAATTAAAAAACTTCTATAGACATAGTTACGAAAACTAAAATACTGCCAAAGTTAATTTCCCAGACGAATCATGCGATTTCAGTTTAAGGGAACGATATATATATACTGTCACTTTTTTCATTTATTCAAACTAACCATAGATAGTTCCTTCATCTGAAAGAGCAACATAGCAAGTGGATGTTTATGCTATCAACACAATTATTCCAACGCTCATAAACTTTCTCAAAACTGAAAAAACCTAATTAAGTTCTATTCCAAAAACCCTTCTACTAGTAACAAAAGCCTCAACGCAAATTTGAGACAAAACGAAATCATTTTTCTTCCTTCCGCCCTTCACATTTATGCATTACACCATAGTACTGAACAGAGAAGTTACCTCTCCTATACATAATATTTCAAATAAACGAGCATCCCTTACTTGATCATTCTATCTCAAATCTATCCCACTACATCCGATGCTATACAGTCATATATCTTCCAGAAAAAAATCGAAATTTTATTTGTTCACTTGTTCTTCACCATAGACATTTATCATTTGTATGACGACATTGAAGAGAGAACTGCTCTCATACAAACACAATATTTTAATAAAACCATCATCTATTAGTCAATAATCATATGTCCAATCTATTCCATTACATCCGATGAGGTAGAGTCGTATGTCTCCGAAAAAAAAACAAATTTTATTTGTCCACTTGTTGGTCATCATAGACATCTATTCCATATGCTACAGCATTGAAGAGAGAAGTTCTCTCTTCATGAACATAATATTTTAATAAAACCATCACCTGCTACTCGATAATCATATCTCCCATCTATTCCACTACATCTGATGCGATAGAATCATATATCTTCCAAAAAAAAAAAAGAAATTTTACTTGTTCACTAATTGGTAACCATGCACATGTGTGTCATATACCCTGATATCGAGGAAAGAAGTTCTCTCTTCATGAACATAATCTTTTAATAAAATCATCATCTATTAGTCGGTAATCATATGCCTCATCCATTCCACTACATCTAGTGCGATAGAGTCGTATGTCTTCGAAAAAAAAACGGAATTTTATTTGTCCACTTATTGTTCACCATAGACATTTATGGCATGTATCATGACATTGAAGAGAGAAGTTCTCTCTTCACGAGCACAATATTTTAATTCAACTAGCATCTATTACTCGATGGTCATATTTCGAATCTATTCCACCGCAACTGATACAATAGAGTCATGTGTCTTGGAAAAAAAACGAAATTTTATTAGGTGACTGATTGGTCATGATAGACATCTATGCCTTATAGTACGACATTGAAGGGAGAAGTTCTCTCTTCATGAACACAATATTTCAATTAAACCAGCATCTATTACTCGATAATCATATCTGGCATCTATTCCTGTACATCCGATGCCGTAGAGTCATAAGTCTTGAACAAAAAAAACGAAATTTTATTTGTTGGCTGATTGGTCATCATTGACATCTATGCCTTATACTACGATATTGAAGATTGAGATCAGCTACACACATTTTCATCTACACACAAATCGCCATTGCATTAAAATTACATAAAGTCTCTATAAAATAAAAGAGGTCGTTTGCTCACTAATGAGATGCACTGATTTGTTTGTTAGTGAAAGCAAAAACTAACGAATATGACAATGTAATGGTTCTGGATTTTAGTTGGAAACAGTTTCAGGATAGCAATGTTAAAAACGAAATAAATTAATGTTTAGTTGCTTAGATTTTTTTGGTAATCTAAACTTTGTTCAAGAGTGGAAATGGTGAAAAATGCAAAACACCTAAAACAAAATCGAGGGTGAATGCGAGATGTAAAGTGATAATTAGGCTGGTGAAGATTCTTACTGTGATAAAGTATAATTTCCGACCTGTCTACTTTTCCACATTCGTACCGTTTCAGTTTTCGACATTATTGGTATCGACCAAAGTTTAGAGTATCGATTTTTTTTTGTCCAAGTACACCTCAGAAATCTAATTGAACACAATTTATAGAAAAATAAATCCATAATAGATAAATGAGGAAAACTCAACAAATGTTATATTCTCTCTATGATCGTGTAAATTAAAATTTCAATAACTGCCACTGTGTGGCTTAAAACAAGCTTACTGATGAAAGTTTTTATTAAAAGTCACCCGATTACGAAGAATGCCAGTTTTTTGTTCTAGTGAATAATGTAAAATTTCTTTGATTTAGTAATGTAATTGTTCTTAATTAATTCAGCATCTCTGTGAAGAGTCTTTACGCATCGTTTTTCTCCTATATTTTTGACAAGAATTACTATTCATTCACTTAGACGCTGTTAAATTTAAAGTACTGCTGCCTTTTCTTTCTTTATTGTAATTCTTCCCTCTCATTAGTTATAAATTGTACGAAGTGAATATTCACATAAAATGTGATCAGTTAGCGCTTTTTTGTTAAACTGATCCATATTTAATTGAATTAAAAAAAAATTTTTTTTTAATCTAATAACACATCTAATCCATATAAAGAATCATTACAAAAGTTCTTTTTTATTGTTCCATAGTGTAGCAGCGTGGGAGAATACTAAGAAGATATTATCTTCGAAAAAATTAGATGAGTTGTGCGCCGATCGAGAGTTTCACTCTTCTCGATAAATGTATCCATAGCTTAAAAGATTTGATTCGTATGAGACAGATAAAATTAAATGCGAAAAAAGAATGATGTAAAGAAGTCTATCACATGAAGCTGTTCCATAACATTATTTGAATTTAGTCAAAGGACAAGATTCTAAACACAATCAGTCGAGCATTGTAGAACAACAATAATATGTTATTCCTTCAATGTAAATCGATTTTTCTCTCTTCTTTCGCTTAATTTACTGATCTTTTTTTTTTCTGTAAATGTAATTAATATGTACTTATTGAAATTTCATGAAAAGTCATAAAAGCAGAAAAGAAGAAGACACGAATAATAGAACAAGAATAACTTGTATGTTGGTATCATGTGAAACGCATTACCCAAATGAATATGAATCTTCAATTAAATGCACGTGTTTGCCTTTTTTTTACTCATGCAGTGAGTGATAATCAACCCTCATGAATATGGCAGAACATCATAACTATTGATGAATACAAGAAATAAGTTTCAGATCCTTATTGATATTTGTGTACAACTAAATTGTTGAGAAAGACCTCAAGCTAATAATTTTATAAAAACTACTATTTATCGACATAAAATTCAAAATAAAATACTTTAATGTTTCAAAGTTAATGCCTCGATAATAATTTTGACAAAATTTTCATAAACTATGAATATTATCATTTTTATTTTTGGTTCAATCATACTCCTAGATAAAAACTATGTTTTTTTTAAAATCCTCTTTATTATTTGAGAAGTTTCGTTTTCGATTTCTATTGGAAACACTGTTTATGAGGGTAAATATCTGTACATTATATGACCACATTAACTATAGGCATTCTATTTTCATCAACCCATCATTCCAATAAATAAGTGTGAACTATTGGATAATCATATCACACTCCCTTTCCGCCACATGCAATATACGACAATCAGATGAGTTGAACAAAATAAAAAAGAATTTTTTTTTTCATTTGCTCGTTAAGCAATAACATCTGTGTATTACATAATGATATACAACAGAGAAGGTCTCTATTCATCACATGTGCAACTAATAATATTTTGTGATTCTTTATTTATCAGAAAATAAAAGTCTACTATAGGTTTGTCTTATATAACTGTTGATGTATATTTATGTATATGTCGTGTCGAAGTTACACCGGCCGACGAAGTTATAACTTCGACAAGAATGTTGTCGAAGTAATACCTTCGTTGACTCATATTGACGAAGTTACAACTTCGTCCTATAAATGTAATGAAGTTATAACTTCGACGATGATCGTCATCGAAGTTACAACTTCGACAATAAAATGTGTCGAAGTTAGTTTTATTTCATTTATCAATAAATAATTTACTAAAATCGAATATCATATTGCTGAATATATTATAAATATTTTTTTGTCAATGAATACTCTTTATTCAGCAATAGAAATTTATTCATAAGTTACGAGAAAAAAAAATAATTATCACGTTAGTGTTTCTTCGTTTTTATTTAGATTTATTTCCGATAAATATGGAGATAGATCTGGTTCTAGCGTTTGAAAAAATAGTTTAATGTAAAAGATTATGCATGAATAAAGATGAAGAAAAAGCTCTTATGAGAGTAGAATATTTATTCTTTAGTTAATAAATACAATCAAGCCACTGGAAATTTTTTCACGCAAAAGTGTGCATACTTCGTATGTCATTAAGTCTAAGATATACACTAAGAATAGAAAGGTTTATCCAAAAAATTAATTAAGAGTTAAACTGTATAACTTGAAAGTCTCAATAAGAATATAATACCGTAACAGATAAATTTATGCTGATTATTAGTCAATGAGCGTATGCATTAGCTGAAATAATACATCCTTCAGTTGCACATAAACATAAGTACAAAAAAAGAATTATCAATGTTCAAATATTTTCAACATTTCAGTGAAAAAAAGCTACATTTTCATTATTTCCTATTACACATATTTTATATTGATTTATTTATCTTCAGTTTTCTTCTTACAATTTATGAACAATTTCCATAGTTGAATAAATGGTATTCGTTGGCAAAAAAAAAATTTTATCATATATTCAGCAATGTGATATTCGACTTTAGTAAATTATTTATTGATAAATGAAATAAAACTAACTTCAACACGACATCCATATATAGTTGTATCTTCGAATAGTAATATGTATGAAGGCTTGTATATAATGTTGAGTGTTAAT